AACCTAAGATATTACTAAAATAGGTAAAGAAATACATTTATTTATGACCTACGACTTTAAACATGATGTATCCCTTTAATGTAGTTTTTTGCCTGCTTCCTGTGCAGACAACAGTGTCCTGTTTCTTACATTTTTAAAACAGAAAATGTTACCCTCAACAGGACACAAGGGCATTTTGTATTTTTGAAATGGAGACAGTAGCAGCTTTCATTGAACCCCATCTTGGTTTTGTGAGTCATGTGAATTGGACTGTAAACTTTGAGTTATTCATGTTTGCTTAGGAGCATAGTGGAAAAGGGAAGTGCATTTTACATCCAGGTTTCCTTTAGTTTCCCCCCAGCAAGATGGATTTTAATTGAAAAGTCTTGGCTGCAGAGAGTGGTGGGGTGATGCATTTTTAATCTGTTCTTTTCAGTTAACTTAAAAAAGCTTCTACATGAATGTATAATAGAACTTATGTTTCTGTTAATATCTTTCGTACGACTGCATCACAAGACATAAGTCAGTTACGGTCTCTATGTGCAGATGTAACTGCTCATCCGTATCTCTTCTTGCTTAACTGATCAGTATTTGCAGTGCAGCTGTTTCACAACACTTGTATCTTGCAGCTGGAGTTCACTGATGGCTAAGACTTCTTCAAATAGAAATATAGCATTGTACGGGCTATATATGCTCAAGTCAATGGGAACTGAGCAATGTTGTCACCTTGCAGGAGCAGGGTCTTTCTTCTGTTTTATCATAAATCTAAGGTGTCTTCTCCTCTAACATACAATCAAGTATTTGCAGGAGTCCCTGCCAAAATAAATGACAAGTTGGCAGTGTGTAATAACGACTCAATTACCAAGCCATTTCAGAGCACTAAAGAAAAGTACTTCAAGGTCCAAGCCAACAATGTAAGTGCATATCCTCATACAAAGAGTTTAGAGCTTGCTCCTACTGAAGTCCATGGCAAAATTTCCATGGACTTCAGTGGGAGCAGGATTGGGGCCCAAAGCCAACAAAACTAGAGGAATCTAAATAAATCGTGGAACCTGATCCTACAACACTTAACTTGCTCATTGGCTTTGTCTTCGTTGCAAAAAGGTGTGTGTGTGGGGGGGGGGGGGGGGGTTTGGTTTGGTTTTGTTTTTTTACATTGAAATTGCTGTTTCAAAAAACCACCCTTTTTGGAGTGAAAACATGGACTTCAGTGAGATTACTCATGTAAGTAAGGGTTGCAGAACAGGGCAGGCTGTTGTATTCATTCATGTGCTGTAGTATAAAATCATATGTGAGATTTAGTAAGAGTTTGAGCGCTGTCTACACTTAAAATTTAGGTTGACCTAGCTACCTCAATCAGGAGTATGAAAAATCCTCATCCCTTGAGCGCCATAGCCATGCCAACCCAACACCTAGTGTAGATGCTGCTGTGTTGACAGAAGAATGGTTCTGTTGACCTTGCTACCGTTACTCAGGGAGGTGGTGGTCTGTACTAATGGTAAAATCCCATCCATCAGTGTACAGTGTGTGTACACTAGGGGGTTATGCTGACATAACTATGCTGGTATAGTCCCTATAGTGCAGATATACCCTAGGAAGGTTTAATGAGGATAAAGAGTTAAGAAAAGTTATCTTCTCTTAGATGCTTTTAATTAGTTAAACACTTTTTAGTGAAAACAATATATGGGGAAACTGAAACTCTGGGATGTTGTGACATGGCTCTCTGCAATGCCAGAGATATAATCCAGGAATTCTCCTCGGTTGCATGCTCTAAGCACTGTACTGTTCCCCCTCCCATTAGGACTGTAAGGACTGATTACTGTGGGAGCACACTATCTGCATTCCTCCGGCCTGAAAAAAATAACCCCATTTGTTTACTGATCTTTCTTTCAGTAATAGATTTTTCTTTCTATTGACATTTTAATGTAATTGGTTGAATTATGTGACTTGTTCTTTCCAAAAAATTTTGTTCTTTGTTAAAAGCAGCTGCATGTGGTAGGGCCAAATTTAATTTGAACTTCTGTCTTCATGCTTTATTTCCTGTTTACACAATACAAAAGGAACAAGGAAAGCAAAAAAATAAGCCTCAATTTATGAATCATGTTTTAAGTTTAAAATGCCTGTCAGACAGAGTGTGAAGCGGTGGTGGTGGCTGGTTGTTTGTATTGTGATAGTCCTTAGGGCATCAACTCAGATTGGGGTCCCATTGTGCCAGGCACTGTGTGCAAACACGTAGTAAGGGACAGGTCTGGCTCCGAAAAACTTACAATTTACATAGGTCTTGTCTACGCTAAACTGTACCAGTAGAGTTAAAGTGATGCAACCTCCCTAGTGAGGATGCAGTTACACCAGTATAAAGGTGCCTTATACCCCGTATCTCTCTTCCTGGATGGGAAGGGGAGTAAGCTATACCGGTATGAGTCAGCTTTAATGTGGACAGTTATACTAGTACAAAGCTATGTCAGCACTAGCACTTTTGTCGTTAAAACTTACGTCGCTCAGGGGGTGTGACCCCGACTGAGCTAAATTACACTGACCGAAGCGCTGGTGTGGACAGGAGATGGGGGTTGGGATGGTTTAATTATGTCGATGGGAGAGCTCTCTCCCGTCAGCACAGAGCAGATCCATGGGAGAGCTTACTGCAGTGTAGCTGCAAGGTGTCCAGTGTAGACACAGCCTAAAGATTGTACCAGTATAACTAGATCAGTGTCCCAAAAAAAAAAAATCATATCACTAAGCAAAATAGATATACTGGTGCAAAATGACAAGTTTCAGAGTAGCAGCCGTGTTAGTCTGTATCAGCAAAAACGAGGAGTCCTTGTGGCACCTTAGAGACTAACACATTTATTTGGGCATAAGCTTTCGTGGGCTAGAACCAGGGCCGGTGCAACCATTTAGGCGACCTAGGCGGTCGCCTACGGCGCTAGGATTTGGGGGGCGCCATTTTCGTCGGCAGCGACCGCGGCGGCTGGATCTTCCGGCATTTAGGCGGAGGGAGCTGGGGCAGTGGAGCGCGGGGAGGGCCGCCTGCAGCAAGGGGCGGGGGCAGCATGCAGGGGAACTCCCTGCCCCACCTCCTCCCCTGCCCCACCTCCTCCCCGAGCACGCCGTGGCTGCTTCACTTCTCCCGCCTCCCAGGCTTGCGGCGCCAATCAGCTTAAGCGCCGCAAGCCTGGGAGGCAGGAGAAGTGAAGCAGCGACAGCGTGCTTGGGGAGGACGTGGGGCGGGGGGGAGCTGGGGCGGGGGGGAGCTGGGGCAGGGGGGGTGCCACGGGAGGGGGGGGAGCTGGGGAGGGGGGTGCAAGGTGGAAGTTTCGCCTAGGGTGCGAAACATCCTTCCACCGGCCCTGGCTAGAACCCACTTCATCAGATGCATGGAAAATACAGTAGCAGATATATATACATAGTACATGAAAAGATGGGAGTTGCCTTACCAAGTGGGGGGTCAATCTACGAGACAATTCAATTAACAGTACCAAGGGAGGAAATATCCCTTTTGTAGTGGTAATGAGGGTGGCCCATTTCAAATAGTTGACAAGAAGGTGTGAGTAACAGTATGGGGAAATTAGGTTTTGTAATGACTGGGAGTGGATGGGTCATTACAAAACCAAATTTGCCCCTACTGTTACTTGGTGTGCAGACCAAGCGATAGACAAGACTGATAAAGGGTGGGAGAAGAAACAGAGGGTCAGAGATGTAAAGTGAGTTGCCTCAAGTCACAACAATTTAGTGGTGGTTCTCCTGACTCACAAGTTCAGTGCCTTAGTCTGGAGATCACACTGCAGTGTGAGGTGGAACTTTGTACGTGTCTGTCATATTAAAGTAAGGGCTGACTTTTTTTCTTTCTTTTTACCAGTTATTTTTGTTGGTACTTAAAATTCTGGTTTAGAATTGTGGCCAAAACAAAGGTGTTTTTTATTTTGTTTTTGTTTTTTAAAGTATTCTTTGTTTTCAACTTGGGTTTTACTGAAAGCATTGGCACACATTTTCTGTCTTTAAATATCAAGTAGATAGAATCAGCTATCTGTGGTTCAGGACCCAAACCTGCAGCTTTTACTCACGTGGTTAATTCCACTGAAGTCAGTGGAATTGCTGAAGAGAATAAGGATTGCATGATTGTCTTCCAAGAATTGCAGTAATAAGAATGGTTCTCCACCCCTCATTAAATAATCTTTATTGGTAAAGTCTCTGTTTTTGTATGATTTTTTTTTTTTAATTAATGATGTATGTGTGAATTCTGTGGGAGTTCTGTACTGCAGTCTGGTTCCCTGCCAAACTTTTGTGTAAAAGAATTATCTGTGAAGATGAACTATGTTGTCAGTTTCTGTGTTGCATCTGTGATTTGTGTGTGTGTTTCCTAGCAAACAATGGGTTAATAATTAAGGCCTGGTCTACAGTGGGAAATTATATCAGTATAACTACTACCTCTCTCAGCATGTGTCTACACCGAAGCATTACGGCAGTGAAGCTGCTGCTGTAGCGTTTTAAGTGTACTCATACCCTAACCGTTATGAAAGTGCCATGGTGAGCTGGGGAACAGTCAGATCATTACGTCTTTGTTTTTTTTCCCTCTGACCTGAGTCCAAACCAGGCTCATTTGTCTCAACTTGTTGTCTGCCTTCAGCTGGAATGTGCATGTGTTCTGGCAGCAGTTTCCTGGGCAACCTCTGAATGTGTCAGGTACATTTAGCAGCACATTTATACATTGCTGAGCAGTAAAGCTGCTGAAGTTGTTGACAATGAGGTTGTAATTAAGCCTTCAAAGGTAGCATCCCATTAATACAAATAGGGGTAATTCATATTTCTCTTAGTGATACTGTTTGAGCCTGCCTACTCTGTAGAGTTAGAAACAAACACTTTGCACTGGAAAGGCTACGCTGGCAGTCAAGAGCTAGAATAATGAATTTTTGAAAAAATGTGGACTTTGTTGGATATTGCAAAAATGCCTTTAAAATTGGGGTTTCTGTGGATATGGGTTACAGTTATATGCTATTGATCTGATTTCTTTCTTTCCTTAATAGATCCATTGCTGTCTGATTTCAAATTTCTCCAAGGAACATTTCTAGCAGAAATGGCAGGTAAAGAGCAGTACTAAATACAGAGAAACAAAAACGATTGCAGATAACGTTTCAACAGTGTACAGCGATCAGCATAGTGGATTAGGCATGACAAGCTTTTCTTCTTCTCTCCATGGGCCCTTTGCATCCCTTGTAGAGCCTTCTGGCTGCTCCTCTTTTCCTCCCTTCCACATACTCCTGTTTTACACTGTGTGTGTCCTCAGGATCATTAACTGAGGTCCCCATCCTGGCCATAGAAGGCTGGGTGTGACTTAAATGCTTGTGTGGAGGAAATTGGACACTGCAGTCCCTACAGAGATTAAACATCTGCTTCCACAGCACTCCTAGCTGCATTATGAACTTAAATCAAGGGCTTAATTCTGCTCCCATTGAAAACAATAGCAAAACTCCCATTGACTTCACTGCGAGCTGGAACAAGTCCTGAGCTTATACAGCCTCTAAAATTGACAGTATTTTTTAGCAGACATTGCACTTGCTGTAGTCTAAAAGTCTTGTCCTAGAGCAAAAGCGAGTATTGTAGAAATCTCTGGGGCATGTGATCAGATCTGAGAGAATATTCTCTTACATTTCTATTGTCTTTCCTCTGAAGAAACCCCAAGCAGTTTAAAATTACATATGCACAGCAACCCTAAAATGCAGCCAACTCTGGGGTGGGCGGGTAGCAGCCAACTGGCACACAGCATGGTACACAACAATAGAGGAGAATAATAGAAGAGGAAATGTTGGCCACTGACAAACACCTTTAGCCAACTACCATGGGGTCATTACTTTCCAGGCAGTGCAAAATGCAAAGTAAACATTATGGTACTAAATGTATCTGCCTGAGAAAGCTGGAAGGCTTATCTGAATCTGCCAGGTTTTGAACCTGTGCTTCGAGAAAATCTATGGGCCAGATGCACTGGTGGCTTGCAGTCACGGGAAATGTTGGTGAATGAGACCACCTTGCGGGGAGGGAAGGAGAGAGGGATCTGCAGTAACATTCAGTGGCTGCAGCTACATTTTGGGAGGGGGGACAAAGAAGGGGCTAGCAGTACCCTGATAAAGAGGCTCTGGCCAGACTGTTCATTTAGCATCACAGAGAGGCTGCTCCTATTGCTGGTGTTTCTATAGAGAGCACTAATTTTCTATAGAGAGCAGTTAATTTTGCCAGAGCAGCTTTTTATCTTTTCACACAGAGATGACGGCAAGAGAGGGGGAACTCTCTGGGCCTGAAAGGTCATGTTCAGACACTTGTCTTGTCTTCCGTGCCATTTGGAAGTTTTCCCAGGACATTTTTCTTCTCTTCCTCTGATTGTTTTTAATTCTGTTTACTGAAGCTGAAGACTTGAAACAATTAGTCACAATGCCCTGGAATCAAACTTTAATCAGCACTCAAAGGCAAGAACAAATATTCCCAAACATGTAGAAATGCACACATGGTTAGATATTCACACGTGCATCCCTTCCCAGCAGCGAACAGCAGTTTGGATTATACAATTTAAAGAATCCTTTTACTTATTTAAAATTTTTTAAAAAATCAGAGGCTTAAAAAATAAAATGCATATAAGAAGGTATGCATCTCTCTGCTCCTTCTTGTGTTGCTGGCCCTACTGTTTGTATAACGGTGTCTGAATTTATGGTTTGGTTTGCTAAAGGCAGGGCTGAATGAGAATAGAAATATTGGATTTGGAAGGCAAGAAGGCCATGATTTATGAAATTCATAACAATAAAAACATCCCTGATATCTGCAGGGCAGATAATCCATGAAGAGTTAGTGCGACTCATTTTCCCCTTTGACTGGATGGCATCCTTTTAGTATAACCTATTTCTAGAGGATTGTTCTCCTAACGTCACCCCTTTCATTGTCATCAGACTATGTCAGCTGCAGGCCACAAGGCCTGATGGCTGTACCCAGCAAGATCTCCACTGGGAATGTAGGCTCTTCTGCAAGCAAACCTCCATCTGTCTGTCCTGTGGGAGAGGAGAATCCCTGCTTTTCATCTGATTTGTTTGGTCTGGGAAACCAATATCCACCCCTGCTTTTGTGCCCTAATGGATTAGATAAAACCCTCCTACAAGGGCTGCCACCACTAGATGCAGCTAGAGACCTGCTTAGCTGGCCTCTCTCACCCTATCTAAGCTACTACGCTCTTGAGCTGAGTCTGGAGTCTATGTTGCGCTGCACCTTTTGTGGTCATTTATGCCAGTGAAATGCAATTGAATCAGAATGGTGGTGCTTTTCCCCTGGTTTGCACTGGTGTAAATGATTACACAGGCTACAAAGCAACAGAGAATGAGCCCTAAATATCCAGGGTGAAGAGAAGTGCTGATGTTGGCCCATTTGAGTAAATAAACTGGATACTAGGAACCCTCTTCTCTCCTAATGGTGGGCATGTTTTTCAGGATAGTTCCAAGCTTCCACACTCTTTTCTGTGCTTCCTCTGGGTATTTCCATGCTGGGAAAGTGCAGCTGAGGGGTCATGTCATTATGATGATTCATTAATTTAAGAGAATGTCTGAGTTAGCTAAACTGTGTGTGTGTTTTGTTTTGTAGAGAAAGTGAATAACTTCCCTCCGCTCCCCAAGTTTATTCCTCTGAAACCGTGCTTCTACCAGAACTTTGCCGATGAAATTCCCATAGACTATCAGAGTCTGGTGAAGAGAATTTACCATTTATGGATCTGTAAGTGAAATTGACATTTTTTGAGAAATTGTATATATTGGGCTCAACAGCTATAAAAAAGGTAGATTCCCATGTATTATACGTTTTAGAGTTTCACTTCTGGTCACTTATCAAGAACAAAATCTTCCTTCTATGATGCTGTGGTGTAGATTGTGCCTGAATTTTAACATGTTGTCCCTTGAAACTTACTTCAAAATTAACTAGGGCTGTCAAGTGATTAATCACACTGTTAAACAATAATAGAATACTATTTATTTAAATATTTTTAGATGTTTTCTACATTTTCAAATATATTGATTTCAATTACAACACAGAATATGAAGTGTACAGTGCTCACTTTATATTTATTTATTACAAGTATTTGCACTGTTAAAAAACAAGAAATAGTATTTTTCAACTCCCCATTACAAGTACTGTAGTGCAATCTCTTGTTGAACTTACAAATGTAGAATTATGTACAAAAAAAACTTCATTCAAAAATAAAACAATGTAAAATTTTAGAGCCTGCAAGTCCACTCAGTCCTATTTCTTGGTCAAGCCGATCGCTCAGACAAACAAGTTTGTTTACATTTGGAGGACATAATGCTGCCCGCTACTTGTTTACAATTGTGAGGGATTGACCTGGGGATGTTGCGGGGGAGTTTTGCAGGTACTGTCTGCATTGGTGATGGGATATCAGGGTGTGACTTCACTTGAGGGATGATACCGGAGTACGTAACCTGAGCCAGGAGGGGGTTGGGGCCAGGTGACACCTTCAGCCTTTGTCCAGTTTCCCGGGCAGGAGGAGGAACCGGGGTGTGTGGCTGGAGGAGACTGCTGGAGGGGGTTTGTTTGGAGCTGGCTGGGGAAATGGAGGGAGACCCGGGGCTGGGGTCCAAGCTCCCTGCCCCCCAATATGGACCTGACTGAGGGGGTCCTGTTGTCTGTACCTGCAAGATGTATTTTGGACTGTGTTCCTGTCGTCTAATAAACCTTCTGTTTTACTGGCTGGCTGAGAGTCATGGTGAATCGCAGGAAGCGGGGGGTGCAGGGCCTTGTCTCCCCCACACTTCCTGACAACAGTGTAACCTGAAAATGAGAACAAGCGTTCTCATGGCACCGTTGTAGCCGACATCGCAAGATATTTATGTGCCAGATGCGCTAAAGATTCATATGTCCCTTCATGCTTCAACCACCATTCCAGGGGACATGCGTCCATGCTGATGATGGGTTCTGCTCGATAACAATCCAAAGCAGTGTGGACTGACGCATGTTCATTTTCATTATCGGAGTGAGATGCCACCAGCAGAAGGTTGATTTTCTTTTTTTTGGTGGCTCGGGTTCTGTAGTTTCTGCATTGGAGTGTTGCTCTTTTAAGTATCAGGAGGTAGCCGTGTTAGTCTGTATCTACAAAAACAACAAGGAGTCTGGTGGCACCTTAAAGACTAACAGATTTATTTGGGCATAAGCTTTCGTGAGTAAAAACCTCACTTCTTCAGATGCAACAAGTCCATGGGGCCGGATGCGCTGCATCCGAGGGTGCTAAAGGAGTTGGCGGATGTGATTGCAGAACCATTGGCCATTATCTTTGAAAACTCATGGCGATCGGGGGAGGTCCCCAATGACTGGAAAAAGGCTAATGTAGTGCCCATTTTTAAAAAAGGGAAGGAGGAGGATCTGGGGAACTACAGGCTGGTCAGCCTCACCTCAGTCCCTGGAAAAATCATGGAGCAGGTCCTTAAGGAATCAATTTTGAAGCACTTAAAGGAGAGGAAAGTGATCAGGAATAGTCAGCATGGATTCACCAAGGGCAGGTCATGCCTGACTAACCTAATTGCCTTCTATGATGAGATAGCTGGCTCTGTGGATGAGAGGAAAGCAGTGGACGTGTTATTCCTTGACTTTAGCAAAGATTTTGAAGTTTGATATGGTCTCCCACAGTATTCTTTGCCAGCAAGTTAAAGAAGTATGGTTTTATTTTGTCGGCAGGAGAGCTCTCTCCTGCTGATAAAGAGCAGCTACACTGCAAACCTTACAGCGCACAGCTGTGCTGCTGTAAGACGTGCAGTGTAGACATAGCCTAAATGTTGTGATAGGGATCTGGAAAGGTGTGTTGGGGAGGGTATTGATCATTGTGCAAATGTGTGGGAGTTCAGAGGCTTTAGTCAACAAACAAAACTGAAGGTATACAAAGCATCGTGTTGTCAACTTTGTATGCATGCGAAATCTGGATGGTGTACAGATGCCACGTTCTGAAGCTGAATCACTTTCCCATGGGCTGTCTGAGGAAACTGAGGCTAAGCTGCAAGACAAGGCTCCAGATACTGAGGTTCTCATATGGGCAGGTATTCCGAGCATTCATACTCTGTTGATGAAATCACAGATGAGATGGGTGGGCCATGTCACCAGAATGTCAGATGAGTAACTGCCAAAGAAGATGTTTTATGATGAACTAAAGGAGAGAGCTCTCAGGGAGGCCATAAGAAACGTTTCAAGAACTCCCTCAAGTTTATCCTTGAGGCATTTCAACGTTGACCCAGAGTGTTGGGAAGATCTCGCTCATGATCGTTCTACCCAGCGAAGTCATCCATACTGGAGCTACCGTCTATGAGCAGAGGAGAGCTGCTGAGGCCGAGCAGAAGCGCCAGCAGCGTAAATCTTGCAACAGCAGCTTGTCCACTGTTAATCAACTAACCCATAGGGACATCTCTTGTTCAGTGCGCCACAGACAGTTCAAAGCTCAAATTGGCCTGATCAACCACTCGGGTTCACAGAAACCAAACCAGTCAGTGATGTCATGGTCCTCTTCGAACTGGAAGGATGAACAACATCATCATTGATTATTTTGGCAGTGGAGATATGTCTGCAAGTTTTGCATCTGTTATGGTTGGGTTGGTGCTGCTTTGCATCGGTGTGTCCTGGTTTGTGGAGAGCTTGTTTGTAATGGTGAGCCTGGTGAGGTTGGGGGTTGTTTGAAGGCCAGAAGAGGGGGTTCAGGAAAGATTTTTTTTTTTTTTTTCAGGATGTGATCCCCATCAAGTATGGGTTGTAATTGTTTGATGATAACCTATATGGGTTCCAGTGTGGGGTGGTAGGTGACAACAATTGATAGGGAATCCTATTTTGAACAGAAGGTACAGTTGGCTCTCACTGTCCACTGAGCTTGTACTCTCTAGCTGAACAGTTCTGAAACCAGGAGTGGAAACTAAGCTTTCCTCTCTCTGGAATGAAATTAGATTAGACCTCAATGGGCAGACCTGTAGAAAGGGAAGGCTGGGCCAGGGAAATGCTCTTGAACAGGGGTTCTCAAACTTTTTTTTGCTGGCACTCCCTTTGAAAATATTTCAGGCTATGATGATTCCCCTATAAAAGTGACAACCCCCCACCATGCCATCCTTACTTCTGTGCTGCTGCTGGCAGCAGTGCTGCCTTCAGAGCTGGGTGCCAGGTCAGCAGCTGCCACTCTCACAACCCCCTACAATAGTCTTGCAAACCTCCCCTTTTGGGTCAGAACCCCCAGTTTGAGAAACCCTGCTCTTGAAGATGAAAAAATCCCTTTGCCCTACCAACCCTTTCCTCCCAAAATACCTGTCATCCCAGCTTCCCTTCCAGTTACAGAAATAACTTTCTCACTGAGGGACACAATACACACTTGATGCTATGGGTTTTATTCCAAATGTACAGTGTGTGTGCGAGAGAGATTTCTGTGTGTATAAACAATAGGATGATCTGTCACTTCATTGTTCTTTCGTTATTCAGAGATGCTGAAAAAAGCTCTAATTTTCTTGCCTGAAGAAACTGCTTGTCTCCTCCAGACTGACTAGTTAAATGTTGCATGCTGTAAAGCTGCCTTTGTGTGCGATTTCTAATTTTTAAACAAAGCGTCCCTCATTCAATTTAGTGGAAAAATGGACAGGTGCCAGCCATTTAGGCAACTGGGTCACATGTATGTCTGAGCAGACCTGGGCTTTCCACTCTGCATTTTAGATTTCCATCTGCTGCACATTTTCTGTTTGGGTCATGCTGGGTTTCTGGGATGGGTGGGGGAGAGAAACAGATCCATAGAGGAGACAGTGAAAAAGAGAAGACCAATATTTAAAATAAATACATACTAGAAGGCTGAGGGGTCATTATTTTAATTGGATTTGAACATTTAATAACAAAAGGTGTACTGAGATTTGGGGAATCCTGTACCAGAGCTCCCACTACTGGAGAACAAATGCCTGTGTAAAATCACATAACAAACCTCTTTTGCATCACAGCTTTATAAGCACCATTGGTTTAAAGGGTTTGTATTATTTGCTTGTTTTTATAGCCCGCAAGTTATCAAACTAAAAACTCTAGACTCTCCAGTTAGTCACTGGAAATAGGATTTAATTTTTAACTTAAAAGTGAGTTTTCCCTTTGCTAAATCTTAAGACATATGCAAACCAGGGCATTTAAAGCAAGTCTTTTGTTAACCTCTTACAGTTAACTTCTATCATGGAAATGAAACCTGCATAACTGAGAGAAGGGTTTTTTTTAATTAAAACTGTTTTTTTGGATGTTGTTAACCCCCATTTAACTTAAATGCCTGAATAATCAGTTAGAAAGAAACCTCTCGTATTAAAGATTCAGCTATTTATCTTCCCCGTATGATGTGTTGGTACACAATCATTTATTAATTGCTCAGTGTCCCCAGAGTGGGTTGGGAGGGGGCATATAATTGGCTGAACTTGCGAGACACTCAACTCGATGGTATAAGGTATCTCTGTCTGGGTGGTTAAGCATTGGAATTAATTGCCCAGGGAGGTTATGGAATTGCCCAGGGATGGTCTAGATAATACTTAGTCCTGCCATGAGTGTAGGGGACTGGACTAGAGATGACCTCTCTAGGTCCCTTCCAGTCCTATGATTCTATATAACTTTGTAATGCTCCATCCTATGCGTTCTAAAATTTCTGGGAATTTTCTAGGTATCAATAGGCAGAACTCAATTAATATTGCAGGAGGGAATCAGAAGGTGGAAAATGCCAGGAGCTCAGTGTGATGCCATCAGTTTAGCATAGCCACAGCTTCAAGCCCCTCTGTAATTGTATTTAGATTGATGGACGCTATTAAAAACATTCCAGTATAACACCCTATCGCATCTCTGCTCGTCCTCCCAATAGAGTTAAACAAGTTGAAACCTTGAATGATGCTTCTCCCAGACAGGAAGAAGTAAAATAATAATGTTGCGGGGGAGGGAGGACATGTGCAGACCCTGGCATTGAGGGATGTGGAATCCTGTTATGGGAGTTGGGGGAAATAGGGGGACACAGAGTCCCTGCCATGGAGGGCGATTGGGAGAGCCTGGTATAGGAGACTAGGGGGCCCAGAGCCCCTGGCATGACGGGGAACCAGTGTGGTGTGCGGGAAACCCACCATAGAGCCCTTACTTGGACTCGATGTGCTAGCCAGGGAAGCTACTTGTGCTGGGGGTGTTTTTTCAATGGGATGATTCCACTCCTTTAAAGACCCTTCTATAGCATTCTTGGGGCATAAAGGGACCTTGGTGTAATTAAAAATCTGTCCATTCAGTTTCTCTTTGTAACAATAGAGGTCCAAGTCCTGATCTTCCACTGATCCCTTCACTTGCAGAATTATCCACCCAGTTTTCCTTCCACTAACATATGCTCCCAAATGAGTCCCTTGTTTCCTCTACTGATATCTGCCCCATTCCAAAGCTGACAGTTCCTAGCAGCAGTTCTGCCAAGTTACAGCAGCAGCCATGCCTCATGGTCCGCGTGTTAACATCCACCCCAGTCATTTCATTGTGCTAACAATTCCTCCCATAACAAGTTCTCCTTGTATTATAATACAACCCATTTGCTTCCTCTTTTTCTGAAGCCAGCAAACAGCACGACTTATGCCCTCTCCTGTTCTCTCTTTATAGTTTACTGCATCACACTAGTGGTGAATCTAATTGGCTGCCTGGCCTGGTGGATTGGTGGTGGTTATGGCGTTAATTTTGGCTTGGCCATCCTTTGGCTTTTTCTCTTCAGCCCCTGCAGTTACATATGCTGGTTCCGGCCTGCATACAAAGGCTTTCGGTAAGTAGACACTCACCTTCTTCCTTTGATCAAAGGGTTTCCTCTGGGAGGTTCGTTCAGTAAACGATCAAGAAGACAATGCCCGCAAGCTGTTCTATCTGTCAGGGCAAAGATTAAGGAGAAAGTAAATGGAATATTCAGTTACAACAATATTTGGTTAAGAAAGTTTTTGGCCAGCGCAGGAGCTTATAGATGAAGCTATAGGGCTTCTCATCTCTGGGTGGCTGGTTTGAATCCAGCCAAGGTGGAGAGCGACTGAAAGTTGCTGCTGTCTGTTTGTTGTTTGGCCTGTTGTTGTTTGTATTATGATAATACCTAAAGGGATCCCATTGTTCTAATGCTGTACGGATATGGACTAAGAGCTAGGCTCTGCCCCGAAGAGCTTACAGTTGAAATAGACAAGACGGACAAAGGATGGAGGTAGTGGGGAAGGATACAGTCTACAAGCTACGTATGAGCACAGTGAAGAATACGATGATTAGTGAGAAGTATCCATGCCCACAAAACACCACCCTTGATACAAACTGACCCCTTGTTGGCAGAGAGGTCCAGGCCACAGAATATAAATATAAATAATAAATATAAATATAAACTTCACTTCTGTCTTGTCCCCATAAAGGGTTCCTTCAGAACAGGGCTAATTCATGTTGGTGAAGGGGGGCTTGCAACAAGATCTTGCATGGCTGATGACCATGCAGTTTGACCTATTCCGTGGTCATCGCAGCACTAATAGGTTTTGCACTTTCACAAGCATGAAATCCATATTTTAAAAATTAATGTATTGTGATTATTAAATATCCCTAGGGTTACTTAAGCATTCTCATCGCTAACGGTATGGGAGACATTCTTCTTAAAGCTTAAGATTTTTGGTTTCTCGGTTCTTTATGGGAAAACTGTACAGAAATACCTTGCCAAGAACTGTTCTGCTTTTTGTCTCTAGGCACAGCATCTAGTTACTCATATTGGGAGGGGGTATTTAAATAAAAGTAACCCACAAAGACCAGGGTTCTTCTCAAATGGCACAAATATATTTAAAATCATCCTACATTTATTTTTTTTATTAATAATCATTTGCATGTCTCTAGTGCCTGCTGGAATTGCAAAGCACTTTGCAAACATTAGTGCATTGAGCTTCACAACATCTCTTTGAGGGACTTAAGTTTAATCTCCATTTTGCATAGGGAAACTGAGGCGTGGAAAGGGGAAGCTATTTTCCCAAGGTCATGCAGCAGGTCACTAGCAGAGCTGACAGGAATCTGCCATTCCAGCTTCCTAGACAACCCTCTCTCCCCTCCTTCACTACCAATGTATTTTTTTAAATTGGTTAACCATCAAATTCTATGGTAAGAGAAGTTAATTTAGAAGAAAGCGGAAGCAGCTGACAGGAATAGAAGCAGACAGACTAAGGCCCTGATTCTAGAAAGCACTCAAGCATATGCTAAATTTTAAGCATGTGCCGGTGGGACTTAAGCAAGTACTTAACTCTAAGCATGTGCTTAGATGCAGATTCAGTCAAGCACTTAAATGCTCACCTCAAATACTACCAACTATGTGTGCTAATGTAGTGGATATTATTAAAACCATAGCAACTAAGTTTAATTATGTTATAGAATTCAAAGGAGGATAACTTCTAAAAGGATATGAAAAGCAAAGGAATTGAATCATCTGAAACTCTTAAAGGAAGTGAAAAATGAAATCTGAGAAGTTACTCTACTGGGCTGTGTTTTGTTTTTTTTTCCCCTTCCCCTTTCTTAATTCAAAAGTCCCTGGGGTTTCCAAGTCACTAGTAGAACTCTGTTCAAAGAGCACTTTCCATTCCAAAGTCTGGGAAAAATTACTCCTCCACAATGCTTTCCTCTGGGCTTTGTGGAGTCAGATTCTAATTATTTCTTTAATGCTGTTTGTATGTGTTTGTGCAACCGAATGCTGAAAGGCCCTTGAGATTACCCTGTGTAAATACTTGTATATAAAATCAATACCCTAGGGACAGACCAGCAAGCCACAGAGCAGTTAGTTTGACATTAGTTTGGAGGAGACTTTAAAGAAAATAGCGGTGTAATCAGGGAAATCTTTTTATGGGAAAGGAATACTGTAGCCAGATTCATTAGACCCACTTGCTATGTTTATTCCTGGCTGTTACAGCCATGGTAGATATTGGGATAGCGTAGTCTATGGATGCTTTTGTGAAACATTCACCATATGTCCACATCCAAAGTTAAATTAGGTGCAGAGCCTTGGCATGAGAGCAGAATGGTGGCAAATTTCCAGTGGAAAGGTGGATGAGAATTCACCTTTTCTACATGTTATAGCTCAGTGGTGTTCCACGTTTTTTCATTTGTGGATCCCTAAAACAATTTCAAATGGAGGTGTGTACCCCTTTGGAAATCGTAGACATAGTCTGCAGATCCCCAGGGGTCCACAGGCCACAGGTTGAAAACCACTTCTCTAGCTGATTTATTTGGGTTTCACTCTATGTATCTGAAGTGAGGTTTTTACCCACGAAAGCTTATGCCCAAATAAATCTGTTAGTCTCTAAGGTGCCACCAGACTCCTTGTTGTTTTTGTAGATACAGACTAACACGGCTACCCCCTGAGACTTGACACTCCTCTAGCTGATTCCCATACACCCCTTCAAATTGAGATGTCTTCACTATTGCCAGGTGATTGTCATGAGAGTCCATTTAAAGGTCCAGCCTGGAACGTTGTCCTTTCACTGTGATTTGATTTCAGTATTGAGACAGAATTACCTTAACCATGGACTATTTATCACAGGAAACGTGTTCTACTCAGATCCAGTATTCGAAAGGAGAATGCCATGATGGTAGCATTTTGCTCTTCTGTAGCCTTGTTCAACCCAGGCTATCTAGTCTCTTTCACAACACCCCTGGGAAGTAATAATACTATTGGAGACAGCGGGCCACATCTTCCATTTGACCTGCCCTTTGTGTAGCTATTCATGCAACTTGCCACGCACTTTGCACTGCTGTAAATGACTGCATAAGGTGCAGGGCAAGAGAGAATCAAGTCCTGAGGGTTTCCAACTTGCCCAAGGTCAGTCCCATTCTTTGCTCTCGCCATTAAGTACCAGATTTACAACAGTATTTAGATGCTTAAACATGCAGATAGGCCCCTAAGAAGAATTACATACTCCAGGGGAGTTAGGAACCTAACTCATTTAGTTGACTTTCAATGCGAGTTAGGTACCTATTCTGCTTAGGCACCTAGGGGATTTAAAAAAGCTCCTCTCTGCCTCTTTAGGTGCCTAAATACCTTTGTACATCTGGCCTAGAACACAGACCCTCCCTGTTTCTGTGATTCAATGGATTTGATGTAAATAATTTGCACTATTAAATATGTCATCAGGTATGAGTGGGTCCAGAGCTAAACTTCAGTTTAAAATGACAGTGTTCCTTGCCAAAGAATGGCTGACTAATATGGGTGGTGTTGCTAGATGAAGACACTGCATCTGATGGCACCATCTGTGCTACTATTGCTGTACGGTATAGCTAGAGCTCTGGTAGAGCTATGCTGAACCCCAGTGATGGAGAGGCCATTGAGCACACCTAGTTTTGGTAGCCACCATGCATACCTGGACCACAAACATAAACTCTACCGCTCTCGTTCAGTCGTTTGGCACCTGCCTGACCTATCCATCCAAAAGGCATAGATGCCGTGGACTTACAAAAAGCAGCGTTGCCTCTGAACGCCACTTATTTCCCCAGGCAGCATTCCATCCCATTCGTTAGGCTCAAATACACTCTGTACGTTGCTGCCAGAGCTGTTTTTCTTCCTAATCCATCCCAGAGCTGGGTTATCAATGGCTCATCTCCCTTAACCACAGGTGTGTAAACTGATGACAAACAGCCACTGAGATATTCCCAGCTAGGATTCTTGTTCACAATAATTGCATGTAATGCACATACAGGATCTGTCTGGCTGCCAGCACTCGTACCCATGTATTCCCGTGGCCTTGTGCCTGCTCACAAATGGATGGGTTGCATTATGAAAAGCACAGGTGTCAAACTGCATTGAGTTTAAACATGAAATCAGGATAATGCTGCAAGTGTCTTCTCATCTGCAAGAGGCTGCTGAGGTATTGGTGGAAAACAACATGCCTCTCTGAAGGTGGTCATACGTGTAATTAGTTTGTTAGATCAATTTCAGGACCTAGGTTTATTGAGGGAGATAAAGTTCTGATGATGCAGAGACCTGTATGCTTCCAGCCCTAGAGAAAAGGGGGTGGATATTAATCTTCAAGGTACGAGACTGAGTGGGGATCCATTGCTTCATGATAAAGTGTGTATGGAGAGAGTGGGGACATAGTAACATGGTACAGTACAAGGTGATAAACCCCATGGATTCTCCCTAACATCCTCTCTCATTTCACAGGTCTGACAGCTCTTTTAATTTCATGGCCTTTTTCTTCATCTTTGGTGCCCAGTTTATTCTGACTGTCATACAAGCAATCGGTATCTCCGGCTGGGGAACATGGTAAGCAGGATGCTCCCATGGTCTTTGAGTGGAGCACTCAGTCCATGTCTTCTCTCCGTCTAGCTGCAGAGATTTTTGTCTCAAAGATTCAGCTTGTGTTCCACATTTCCATGCATTAAATGCTGATGTTTGGGGCGGGGTGGGGAGGGAGAGTTGGGGGAGATAAGGAAAGGGGTTGGACAAAGAAAGGGTCCTGGTTGGAGTGAGGGCATGTTCTCCGCTCCTCTCGCCTCGCTAAGGTAATGACTGAATGTTACATGATTTGAGCCTGCATAGGATTTTCATCGTTCTGTTCTTTCAGGGCTACATGTTCCCCCACCCCAATAAATAGGGCCCTACCAAATTCACGGCCATGAAAAACGCATCATGGACCATGAAATCTGGTCTTCTGTGTGCTTTTATCCTATACTATACAGATTTCACAGGGGAGACCAGCATTTCTCAAATGGGGGTCCTGACCCAAAAGGGAGTTGCATGGGAGTTGCAAGGTTATTTTAGGGGGGGGTCACAATATTGCCATCCTTACCCAGCTCTCAAGGCGGCGCCCTGCCAGCAGCGGCACAGAAGTAAGGGTGGCAATACTATACCATACCACCCTTACTTCTAAGCTGCTGCTGGCAGCAGCCCTGTCTTCAGAGCTGGGCTCCCAGCCAGCAACTGCCACTCTCCAGCTGCCCAGCTCTGAAGGAATTGCCGCCGCCGCCAGTAGCAGCGCAGAAGTAAGGGTAGCAGTACCGCAATCCCCCCCCCCCCAGTAACTTTGTGACCCCCACAACTCCTTTTTGGGTCAGGATCCCAACAATTACAATATCGTGAAATTTCAGATTTAAAGAGCTGAAATCATTAAATGTATTATTTTTAAAGTCCTATGACCGTGAAATTGACCAAAATGTATCATGGAATTTGGTAGGTCCCTATCAATAAATAACCATTTCCCCCTCCATATGACCACACCATTGCAACAGAGAAGCCACCTGGGAGTTTGCAGCAAGGTTCTAACCTAGCTGCTTGGGGGGGTGAGTGAGGCAGTCAAGACATCTTATCCTTTCTTACCATCTTCCCCATGCACATAAGTTTCACTTCATCTCCAGTCTACAGAGCTAGAGTCCCAAGGTTCATCCTTAAATAATAATTGGAGGTTACGTTCTTGACCTTCCCGGTTTAGGTCACAGAAGGTTGGTAATTTAACCTGCCGTCTTTAGAGCCTGGATGCAAATCCTGCTGAAGCTAGAATAACAGAAAAGAAGGTGCTACACAGAGTGCTGGGTTTAAACACTAATCCTCAGAGTGCCCCATGAGGCATAGTATGACGACCTGTGGAAATGGAGACTCTGAGCTAGGTCAAGGACTCTCCGGTTCCTGGTTCTTAACCCCAGCTTTATTCCACTAGCCCCCACACTACCTCTACACAAGTGAAAATAAATTTGGTTCCCTTATGGACGTTTGTTTACCTCCTAAAACCTCACCATTCAACTGGCTTTCTCTAGTGGCCTGGAATTCAAATAGCAGGGGATGTTGCAGGTCAGGACTTGAGGTGCATTAACAGAGATGTGCAGGGGAAATATCTACCTGTGCTGCAGCTGGTTCTTGCCCTAGTTCTTACTTTTCCATTCATATCCTGGAACTTTACAACTCACTTGCAAATATTTTCAGGTTGGCGGTGAAAACAAACGACAGTGATACTTCTCTGTATTTCACTTTCTTCCAGTGGATGGTTGGCAGCCACTACTTTTTTTAGTACCAGTGTTGCAGCTGCTGTGTTCATGCTGTTTCCAGCCATAATGTTTACGATGTCAGCGGTTGCGATGTCCTTCTATCTCCTAAGGGTAAGTGCTTCAATTGCCTTTCTGACGTGGAGTATCTGTCAATTCTGTGCATCAAAGCAAAGTGAATCATCAGCTTAGTGGTCACTGAAACCACTCACATCCTAGAAAGTCGAGAGTATAGACCGTGCGGGGGCTGTCCCCCTGCCAAGCCAGATCCCTCCCTCCAGGACAAATCTAGATGAAAGGTTGAGAGTGCGATTGAGGGTTCTCTCCATGCAATGGAACCGTGTCCCTCCCAGCATGAATCCATGGACAACCATTGATTCTGAGAATTAAACCTGCTGAGACCCACACAATGACAGACGGGGGTGGTGGGAGGGAGATTCATGGAAGGATCTTTCTCCTTAAAGTGATCTGCAGAAGGAAAAAGCTGAAGAGCCACTGTCATGGGCAATACAACAGGAGAGACTTCACCAGTGTTGCACTTCATGGGAGGAGAAAAGCCAGAGGGGTAAGATCTGTCACACAAGAAGATGCCAAAGCTGACAAGTCCAGCAAAATATGTTCTCTACCCCAAAGCAGCTGCCATCAGGACAGTTTACCTCTGGAATGTGGGAGCATACTGCCGCCTTTGAGATCACGGATAGCGCCACTCCAGTCACGCGTTGGTTGGCATCTGTGGTAGGGTGGCTGAAAAAAAGTCACTCCTTCTCCTGCACCTCTATACACCCAGCTATATAATTCTCCTATCGTGCACCCAAGCTTTGCCAGTCTGGGATGCAGCAATTTCAGTAATGCTGAATTCTAGGTAAACTGACCTAGTTTGGGTGAATTGCTTCTAACATCATTACTATGCAATTCCCCAACCTGAGTTAGGGTCATAATGCTGCAGTGAGTTAAAAGACTGTATGTAGATCTTATCTAGCCGCTTCTCTGTTGCCATCTGCTGCACTGTTCTGTTTATAGCGCCCTTGTTCCTTTGGAATGTGGACACTTGAACAGAGATGTTACCAGATCCATGGGACAGCACTAGGAAGTGTCTAGTATATTAGGCATTAACAAAGTGACCGTAGCTCCTATTGGAAAGGAAACTAGATGCTTGTTGCTGATTCTTCCCTTGCTCTCTTGATTACCTACTAGGTACATAAAATTTACCGAGGGGCTGGCGGAAGCTTTCAGAAAGCCCAGGATGAATGGAACAGCGGCTCATGGAGGGACCCCCCGAGCAGGGAAGCTCAGTACAATAACTTTTCTGGAAACAGTCTGCCACAGTATCCCACGGTGCCCAACTATCCCACGGGAAATCAATGGCCTTAAGCAGCAACAGCTGTCAAACTGCCTGGATTATCTTTTTGGGTCTCCTCATTATTTTTATTATTTGAAAAGATCTTTTTTTTTTCCCCCATCATCTTTGGTTTTTTTAGTTCCCTCCTCCCCATGACTGCAGAAAATCTGTGCACTCAGCCTGTACTGCCTCCAGGGCTTTGCCCGTCTCTATTGGAACGTTTTATTTTGTGCACAGTTGCCAGTATTTGCCTTGCTGCAAACCGCAGAACTATTCGCTGCCCTTGCTTGGGGGAATCCTCCAATGATCAGTACCTGGAAAAGGCTGATTTTCCCCTCTGCGAAGAACACTTTAAGATGCTCTTTCCCCTGCCCTCTTCATTCTTATCAGATGCACAGTACACCTCCACCATCTTCCTGTTACCGAGCAGGGGACATAATTGGAAATGGGCATCAACTGGCATCTCCTGATGAGTTGTCTGGAATTTCTATTTCTCAAAGGGAAATGTCTCATCTATTTTATTTTGTGCCTCGTAAGATTGAAATTGGCAGCCAGGGCTCCCTTTTTGTTCATAAAACCCTTGAAGGTCTAAACCATCTCTTGAGTTCTCTGTAGTGAGAGAATACTTTAGATAACTCTGCCCACAGTGAGTGATTGCTGGACATTGCAACTGATTAGCAGAACCTGCACTCAGCTGGTGAGGTATCATTCTATTAGAATTCATTTTCTCCACCCCCAAAGGTTTTTCTTATGATAGGGTCTACATGTTTGAAAGTACCGGTTCATCTCACTTGTCTATAATCCTTGCTTGCTAATGGCCTGATTGAAAGCCCAGTGGAATCACTGACTTCAATGGGCTTTGGTTCAGACTGCATCGGTTATAGTCACTCTTATGTAGACAGCCAACACAAGACATAGGCACACTTAAGTCCCACTTATGCAGTGTCTAGGTTTTGTGCTGTCCCCACATGTGCAGGCCCCTCTCCCTCCTGATTGAATCTCACCCCATTGACAAACCCTTATAATGTAAATAATCTTCTGGCTACAGTTCTGTAGCCAGGTGGCGGATAACTATAAATCTGAATACTAAGACTGACTTGTGTGATTTGGGAGTAACTCCGTTAAAATTGATGGATCAGTCCTGATTTATTCTGACATAGCTGACATCTGAATCTGATCAAGTTTCTCATGCTTGTGAATTGTTCTCCTGCAACATGTCACCTGTTAGTTTACAAGACTATTAAGCATTTTGTAGTCTATCCTTTATTTAGTCATGCAGGACCACTCCCCATGTATACAGCTCTTCTCTCTACTTCAGCATGCAGGCAGAGAGAGGTGGAATTATCTTTCCCTAAGAAGTTGGTTGAGGGGAAGATAAAGGTTCTGTTGAGAGGGTCTTTTCTTGCTGAGAACGAGGCTTTGTCTACACTACAAATGCTTTGCTGGCCTAGCCGTACTGACCAGAGCACCCTAGTGTAGACATAGCGTATGGCGACAGAAGTTTTTCTGTTGGCACAGTAACACCACCTCGCTGAATGACATTAGCTGCGTTGACAGAAGCACTCTAATGCCTGCTTAGCTGTGTTTGTACTGGGGGGGGTTGCTGACATATCTATGTTGGCTGGGGTGATGTTGATTTGTTTTTTGTTTCACACCCCCATCAACATAGCTATGCTGGCAAAACTTTGTAGTGTAGACCTGGCCATAGTGTGTGTCATGGTGCTGACTTCCATCCTTTTATCTATTTCTCATGTCACAAGTACTGGAATCTGTAGGCAGAGCAGTCGAATTCCTTTCCATTTCGTACTATATCATCCCAAGCAATACAAGCTACAGTTTCCCGTTTCTCCTTAAAAATCTGCTACTCTATGTTGAGATTTTTTCCAATCAGCCTGTGAGACTTGGATGCCCAATTTCCGTTAATTTTTATGGGAACTGAGCCTCCAAAACCCTGCAGCAGCTTTGAAAGCCTCTGCTAAAGATCCCCTGAGGTGCTAAAAGCCTTCAACTTCCGAAGGAGACATGAGGGAGGTTTTGTATTTGTTCAGATCTGCAGACTAGTGCTGGATTCTGCTCTGTCGTGTTGATGTGAATCCAGAGTAACTCCATAGCTAACAGTGGAGTTATGCCAAATTTACACGGGGTAACTGGAATCAGAATCTGCTCCTGAAAGGCTTAGAAAAGGTCTCCAAGCTGGATGGAATCCATTTGCAAATGATCCTTTGAAAATGGTCTCAATATACAAGTGCCTTATTCAATAATATATTAGCTCTTAGGGGAGAGTTCTTCTTCCCTCAGTGCCCCATTCCCCATTTTGTTTAGTCTTAATTTTTTTCCCTATATGCATATATTGTAAATATTAGGTAACTGAAATGCATTACCGTGGGATTTGTGTGACATCTTTGTTATCAGATGGGCCAAAGGAAAAGCAACTGATTAACACTGGAGGCCAAAGCCTCCTTGAACTTCAGTTTAAAAGCAACATTTCCCATTGCTGCAAAGCCAGCCCTTTGCTGGGCCTCTCAAAATATCTTTCTAACGCATTCCTAACGCAATGACTTGTGTATGTGATTTGCTCATAAACACAAGGACAGATGCTTGGAGCTTTGCTAACAGAATACAGTCCAATCATGTTGCCGAACTTTTAGTTGCCTTCATCTTGCATAGAGTGTTGTGTGGCTTTTCTTTGCGTGCTTGCCATCGAAAGGGTGGTGAAAGAGAACTGCCTGTCATTTAACTCCCTGGAAATACGAACATGCTGCCCAGGGGATGGGTCAAAATTCCCAGTGCTTGGATCCTGTTAACGAAAACGGGAGTCCTGCCTGTAATTTGCCACATTGGGAAGCCTGAATATGGCGTGCCTGCCTAATCTCATCCTTGGAGGTGTGGCATATCCTCCGCCCCTCTTGGCCATTCTTTTCAATATGGGGTGACTGAGGGTGAGTCGTAATTCCAGAAAGTTGACTCAATCAATGTGCTGCCAGAACTGTTGTGGCTTATTTTTGGAATCATAGCTATATTTTTATAAATGTAATGTTTACATTAGATTTCCAAGGAACTACCAACGTTTTGGAGAATTGTTAACCTGGACTTAGCCAACTTTAATTTTTGTTCTGCATCATGTTATGTGGGATGCTTTGTGTCGTCTGTGGGGTTCTTTGTTGTTTTCCTTGCAGGCGTCAAATAAATCCTCATTCTATACACCGTGAGAAGAGCCTGGCTACCTTGGAGGTGTGTATGTATTCATGATGGTTGGAAGAAAATAGTGAGGTCTAGTTATCCCCGTTCAGTATTTCCCTCTCTTAGAAAACGCCAAAGCCTTCTGGGAAATAGGGGGTTTGGACAAGTAAAGGAACAATGCATTGTGGGTGAAATTCACCCCTTTGCTGGGAGCCAGTGCAAGGCATATGCACTATTTAATTTATCCTCTTTTCGCGCTTTTCAACTATAGAACTTTGCAAAGTCCTTTACAAAGGAGGTCTCGTTATCCCCATTGTGCAGATGGGGAAACTGTGGGCAAGTCACTCCTCTCTGTGCCTGGATCACCCAGAAGGCCAGTGGCACGGCTGGGAATAGAACCAAGATCTCCTGAGTCCCAGTCCCGTGCTCTATCCACTGGATAGGTGCTACTTAGGAAAGGTAGTGCTAGGATTCAAGCTGGTCCTCTGCACGGAGATGAATTTCAGCCTGAGGGGGTGTTGATCAGCCATGGGTTAAACAGGCTTATGCTGAATTCAGTCAAGTACGTACGTACACACACACACACACCACCCCCTAATGTTATCCTGAAGTTAAGGCGCCTCCTCAAGGTTGCTTAACTTTAGCCATTTTACTCAGAGCCAGAAACGCACTTAGAGAGCAGATGACAGTGAAAGTCTTCTGTCAACAGTGCAGACCCATTTGGTGTGTTCACCTAGGCCTACATTCTGGCCTCAGGAGGTCAGTGGCAGCTTTGCAATTCCAGTTGACTTAGTGGAAGCAGGATTTGGCCCCTGGGTGAAATTGACTGTAGTCTGGAGGACTCGCACAAGGCCCTAGGCACCATTTAAGCAGGGTGTAAATAGCTTGTGCTGACTACCTGCATGGGGGTGTAGGGAATATCGCTGCTAGTGCACCTCTTTGCACTGTTGGCGATTCGTTAATGGTAGTAAATGGCAACTGCTTCATATGGTGATTTGCTGCTGAGAGGTGGTCTTTCATCCCCAGGTCTCTGTTCAGTGCACAGGGATAGACTCTGCTCTCAGGCATCGATCTTGCAAATCCTTGCGTGGAACACAACAAGTGTCACAAGCGTGCCGCTCGCCAAGCCAAGTGTAAATTGGCATAGTCTCTTGCAATGAGTGGTATTGCAGCAGGAGCCGCTGTGCACTCACTCCCTAGTACACAAGAGCAGAGGGTGGCGTGTGGGCAGAAGTTGGCAGTGTCTTGAGATGCAGGCATGACCATGGCCTTCATCGTGCTACTGAGGAACTCAGATGCTCCCCTTTCAGGCCTCCCTCCAGTTAGGGGCGGGTGTGACTTGGCACCCACCCAGTCGTGCTCCTGTTATTTGTATTGCAGTAGTGCCTAGGCGCTCTAGTCGTGGGCCAGGACCCCATTGTGCTAGGTGGTGTACAAACCGAGAACCAAAAGTCCCTGCCCCAAGGAGCTTGCCTGTGGGATCAGGGTTCCCAACTAACTCCCTCTCAGCAGTGGTTACATCATGCCCCTACAGCTGGGGAAGATCAAGCCCTGTCTGTGTGTGCCTGGCCCCCGTGACAATGTGTACCTGCTTGTTGGCCTGACTTCTGCCACATTCCCAATGCCTGTGTGCATTTTCCTTGAGCCCAGAACATGAATGCTGTGTAACAGAAAGATTAAACTTGGTTGAGCAGTTTGCTTTTCCCTCTGCTTTTAAATTGGTGGATTTTGTATTCTCTGCTTATGAATTAGCCCTAATTAGCTTATGCCCCCTGGGATGCGTGGAGGGGTTGCAGATGTATGTTTTCCAACAGTAATACAGTGGCTTTAACTATCTTACTAATGCTACGCTGGATGTAGAGCATGAGTTGTATTGATCTCTACACTACGTGTCTGTCACACCACTGTATTTGATGCTGAATTACAGCATGCTGGAGCATTCTAGTTAAATAAAAGTCAAACTGTGGTGCTTTTCCTGTCTTCAACTCCAAAGAACGGTCTAAGCTCTCCAGCCAAGTGTCTGATCATGGTGGGTGTTTTGTGTGGTATCAGATCAGAGCACTGGCCCATCTCCTCCAGTGCCCTGGGTGGGGGCCTGACTTGCACAGGAGGAGCCTGCGGGAACTCCTGCTGAAGACCGTGAACATTTTGGCTGGGGTGGGAGGTGCTTGCAGTAGTATTCTGTGATGTCCTGATACTCAAAGGAACTGGGAGGGGGGAGAAAACCCCTAAGGCTGGTTGTGCAGTACTTTACAGAGAGGGAGGGACACCCTTTCCACCCCCTGCAGCAATCTGCTAATGCCCTGCGGGATGAGATTTGAGTACTCAGCATGCATATCTATAATAAAAAATTAAACAGGGACTGGGCTTGCTTGGCTACAGAAATGGCTGCAGAAACTACCTCCTGGGGGCAGAATGAACAAAGCCCGATGGAAAACAGGAGTCCTCGCTCAGCCTAGTACCTTGAGTAAGGACCACAGGCCTATTCAAGCAGGCCAGGGTGAGACATCAGAGTGCAGTCTCCACTGGAGACCTAACTTGCTGGCTTCTGCTTAGCCACCCCCTGATCCCAGGCACTTGTTGCATATGCTTCCAAGAACTGGGGAGGAGAACAGAAGGAGCAGCATCTGTCCCCCTTTAGAGAGATGCTGTTGAAGAGCAGAGGAGATTCGATATGAGGATAGACCCATCACCCTCCTCCCAAGACCCTGGAGCCAGGGAAGGGAGCAGAGTCAGCCATGTGCCCCTACCTCTATGAAAAAAATCTGCCCTGGATCTGTGCCCTGCACCCTAGGCTACCTGAACAACTGGGACTGGCCACCCTTGTATCACGTGTGGTGGAGTGGGTCAGGCTACCACCCACATTCAAGAGAATCCACAGCATGAGAGAGCGGTGGCTTTCTCTGGCAGGTGCTTTGGTGGAGGCAGGGGGAGGAAACCATCAGCTGAAGCCCCTGGGTGAAGGGCCAGGGGTGGGCGCCTGCTAAAAGTGAGGCAGGCTTGGTGGAGGCCTGAGCCGGGGAATTAGGTCCCGCAGTCAGATCCAAACTGCTGTCCGGGGTTCAGATAAAAATCAGGTAGATGCTCCCACCCCCCCATGCAACCCCAATGGGCCTCCCCCAATCTGTGGGTGAGTTCAGCCTGAAACACTGTGTGGCCTTCCCCCTGTTGATCTCTGGAGCAGGTGATGATTAGGGGTATGTCTACACTGCAATTAAAACCCCACAGCTGGGCTGTATCAGCTGACTTGAGCTCAGGGGCTGTTTAATTGAGGCAGTGCTGGATGTTTGTCCCCAGCTGGAAACCATAACCAGGTCTGATGTGATTTAAGGCTTGTGGCAAATTCTGCTCAATACAAGTCCAGGGAGCAGAGAAACAGGCACCATTGCAAGTGGCAAGGGAAGTGCCATGGCAGAGCGGTTGGCCAGTTCCACTGCATCTGTCATAGGCCTGACACTCACCACTGCTATTAACCCTTCTGTTTCAGGGACACTAAACTTACACCAGTTTAAGAAGGTTTATATATACTTGTAACTGTCATTTGGACCCTTAAAGCTCCTTTTTGAGACTACATGTTTGGGCAAATTTGTAGTAAAGGAGACGACATGACCCAAGCAGGCATATCACAGGACCTCTGGGTTCTATTTCTGGCTCTGCTACTGACCCGCTCAGTGCCCTCGTGCAAGTCCCTTCCCCTCTAGGCCTCAGTTCCGCCATCCGTACAATGCGGAGATTTACCCCCCTTTGTAAAATGGTTTGAGATCACGGGATAAAAGACCCTAGATGTGAGTTGATTATTGTTGTTACAAAAAGAATCTTTGGAAAAGTAAGTGCTTAATATGTGTGCTAAACCTTCAAAAAATGAGCTGAGGAGAGCTGGTTGGAAAATGGGGTTTTATTCCCCCGTGAAAAATTGCAACTTTCTGGCAAAAAAACAGAAGTATTTCTATTTGGGACTGTGGCTATGGTGTCTCATGTGAGCCTGAGTACATCTGACTAGTCAGACTACACCTTCTAGGATGCACCACTGTCTGCCCTCATGGGGAGGGACACCATTGCATCCTGGGAGTTCCTGGTCATGGTGTCTCATGAGAGATGTAGTACAACTGGGGATCCGGAACCATAGAGGAGAATGGGAACATGAGGTGGCTGAACTACAAATCCCATGAGGCACTGCAGCAGACTAGCCAAACCTGGATGTTTTGATTTTTCAACAAAAAATGGAAATTTTCTTTCAAAAGCAGACACTTCTCATGGAAAAAATTCAGTTAATGGAAAACCCAATTTTCCTTTGAAGAACAGTTCAGATGGAAAATTTTTGACCAGTCCTACAGCGAGGAGATTTAATTTATTAAAATTAATCAATAATGAGTAGAGTGACATTTGGAAAGATCACTTTTGGGGGAGAAGCTGGTTCTGTTTTTTTTAAATCAAAGCAAGTGAATCCAGTTGTTATATTTTAAATGTGGGACTGACTGAAAATTTTCCTTGATGATTCTGTCCTTGAGCAGACTAGATGATCATAATGGTCCCTTCTGGCCTTGAAAATCTATTAATGTACTAAATACAGCTTTAAAATGACAGGCCTGCAGTGATTCTTGCATCATTGATAAACAGGAAACATTCCTCTAGTCTGTGACCTCATTTACGAAGTTAACACAAGGAAGGAGTTTTTATGGCTGAATTATTTATTTGGGTGTTGTCATTTCCACAGTGTTCATCTCTAGCAGACCTGAGTGAAGCCTCAGAAGTTCCCGGAGATGGGTGCTGCCAGGCCCCTTGTCCAGATTGGAAAACAGGGGCGAGCTGGTTGAAAGGCTTCATTTGGAACTTTGTGACAAAAAAAATAAAGCCTTTTGTGGCCAAATGGAAATACTGGATTTCAGCATCTTTTTCCCAGTTGCTGAAAGTAAAATTTCCATTGTCAGGTTTTAGGTTTTTCAGTGAACGTTTCTGATTAAATCAAAAACTTAAGAGAACTTTTTCAATTTCTTTCATGGGAACAAAAATAATTTCCTGCCCTGCTCTGACTGTGAGAGTCAGTGAGGTGAAAAGACTCGCCAAGTCACACAGACAGTCTGCGGGAGCATCAGGGGTAGATTCCTCATCTAAGTGTCTGTCCTGGGCATTATCCACAAGCCTCTCCTTCCTTCCTGTTATAATCCCCTTGCAAGGCTGGGGAAATAATGGAACTATTTCGTCCGTGCCTTATTGCAGTGCAAGCAGGCTTTGCTGTAATGCTGGCCACACATGGAATTATTTATAGAGACAAAGGATACGAAAACATCTCATCCTTCTGAGCAAGCCCTTTCAAACAGGAAAGTGCCATCCTGCCTAAT